TGAAGCACTTTATAGCACAAAGCTAAAGAAGTGAAGGGAACAGCTTTTTAAGTCATCTTGCCAGATTTAGAGGACATTATTAACATAAAAGGTGGGAAAATGGGCTGTTCCTTTCTATTAGGCAGGGAAGAGTTCTCAGTGTGTACCCTCTTAGGAATATGAGAGACAGAGAGAAGTAACACTGTGACCCCTTTGAGTTGACTCTGCTTCTATGAAGAGGAGAGAGGCACTCAGTCCTGGGCTGCCCCATCTCAGGGGACGTGGTGTTGCACTGCAGTGTTCCCTTTAGATCTTACCTCTTGGAGTTTATGTGAGTTCTCTGTGTCCACATACCAAATCCCCACAGAATCTTCTTCACTCTTCACAAAAGCATTGTCTTTTCCCCCTCATTTGCACTCCATGACATCACATCATACTCTTGATTTTGTGGTTTGTGATACCTGTCTAAATCCAACACTCTGTTCACAGGAAAGTCTTACAATGTTTCTAAGGGCAATGAACTGCAAGTCTGATGACCCAGATTCAAGTCCAGAAGCCACAGTTTAGCCAGTTAAATCACTATAGACCTTACCACTGTGTGCCATTTTTTTCTCGACTTAGAAAATATAGATAATAACTGTTGCCCTATCTTTTCCATAGAGTTGTTTTCAGCACGAAATGAGATAAGAATGTGAAAATAGTTTGTAAAGCTTTATAGAAATACATGTGTTTTGTTCTTATTTTAGTATTTTTTAAATATTAAAAAGATGGATCAGATTCTCCTCCACTTAAACTCCTTGCAAGCAAATGAGGAGAGTTACCAGAGCTAAGCAAACAGCGAATAAATAGAAATGAACTCAGCAACTATAAAGCAGCTATAAGTCATCATGATACACTTGGAGCCTGGGCTGTAGATCAGAAGCACCATAATCACCTGGGAGCTTGTGGAAATGCAGACTCTCAGGTCCTGCCCCAGACTTACTGATTCAAAATCTGCATTTTAACAAGCTCTCCAGGTTCTTCATGTACACATGTAAATTTGAGAAGCACGATGGGCTATACCACCTGGCACTGGAGCATGCAAGGTGATTCCACACAGTAAAGTAGTGAACATTTTTTATCTGAATTATTTGGTTTGAAGTAAATATTGCTAGCTCACGAAACCTGTTGCGTCATAGATTTTTTTTAAGATGAGTCTAACAAGTAGCTATTTACATATTTTTAAAAGCTGATTTAAGAAACCTTTAATAGAGTAAGTGATACTTGGATGCGACAGAAATTATGAGGGTGTCTCTCAAGTGATTGGCCTTTGGGTAACGTCAGTGTAGAAGCTTGGTGGGATTCAGGGCAGGGCCATAGTGCTGGAAGGACCTGTGGTGCCACTAGCCCTAGCCAAGGGCCCACATAGAAGACACAGCTCTCACGATTGCCAGGCATCCTAGGTCAGACTAGGGGTGTCCAGAATTATCTTCCACTAACCAGATGAGAATACAGACTGAGCTCAAGGCCAGGGCCCCTTCATGTCTTTCACTCAGGATTTTTTGAGGAAGAGTTCAAGCACCGAAATACCCTTTATTTCTTTATTTCCTGCTTAGAAGAGCTGTGGGGATAGAAGATTCTCTAGTCCATTCTTTGTACCAGCCTTTAGCTAAATGTCAAGTCTGTGGACAGTTCATCCCAGAAGTGTTCACTCCCCATAACTCAGTTTCTCCTGGGACACACTTACAGAGTCAAGTTCAATTCCTTATGAGGCCAGCTTTGTAAGATTTTGCCTACTTTTTTTCTCTTCTTTCATTTTTTCAGTAACTTTCAAAATTATGTAAGGAATACAACTAAATTCTCCAGTCATTAGAATATAGAGGGGGACACGCTCCATCTGAACCGCTCCAGTTTCCCACATGTGCTGCCCCCGGAAACGCCTGTGTTGTCCTTTAGTTCAGGTTCCCATCTTCTCAGCCCATTCGCATGCCTTCTTGACCTGACACTGATTCTGTCATTTGTGATTATCCATCCGAAGCCATCACCTTGGCCAAATTACAGTTGGGAAGGATTTCCATGTGAATGAATCCCTCTAGCCTCTTGATAAGGGTTATTGCTCCTCATGAAAAAGCTTCCAGGAGGAAGAGCCTGGCATCATATTTATATCTTCCATACACACAGAGAAGTGAAGCAGTAAAAGGTATTGATATTAAAAAAAAAAAAAAAACCTTTTCAGAGATCTTAAGTTGAAGAAGGGTAGTAACTTGCACTTTTGTAAAGAATGATGTCTATGAGGGGGCGCCTGGGTGGCTTGACTTTAGCTCAGGTCATTATCTCACAGTTTGTGAGTTTGAGCCCCATGTTGGCCTCCGTACTGACAGCTCAGAGCCTGGAGCCTGCTTCTGATTCTGTGTCTTCCTCTCTGCCCCTCCCTCCCTCTCAAAAATAAATAAACATTGAAAAATTTAAAAAAAAAATGATATCTGAAACTTCTTGAGTTGTCTGCATGCAAAGCTAAGATATTTGATTTGGTTTTTAAAATATCACTCAGACTTACTGTCATCCAATGGCAGTTTCCACCTTTGGGCTATTCTTTGTTTTAATGGAGATATGTTCTAAAGTAATTTCTATAGTTGTTGAATGCTTGCATATTTCCTAATTTCTTCCATTTGAATCAAGATATGTAAAGCAAAATTCAGGGACAAGCAGCAGATTAGGAAAAAACTTCACATATGCATGTGACAGAGACCTGATTTCCTTAATATACATATGTAGAGTCCTTCAAATAACCAAAAGGCTGAATGACCCAATAGAAAAATGGCAAAAGGTATCAATTTGAAGGAAAAAAATTGAAAATGGCCGGTAAACATGAAAAGCTTTTCAAGCCAAATATCTACCATTCGTCACAGATCAACACAGGTCGCCAGTTTGCACCTGTCAGGTTGACTGAAATTAAAATGTTTGAAAAATCACAATGTTCAAGGATAGGGAAAAATACCATGTTGTTGGAGTTACAAATTGTGTGACTTTTAGGGGCACCTGGGTGTCTCAGTCAGTAAAGCATCCAACTTCGGCTAGGTCATAATCTTGTGGTTAGTGAGTTCGAGCCCCACGTTAGGCTCTGTGCTGACAGCTCAGAGCCTGGAGCCTGTTTCGGATTCTGTGTCTCTCTCTTTCTCTGCCCCTCCCCTGCTCGTGTGTTCTCTCTCTCTAAGAATAAGCATTTAAAGATTTTCTTAAAAAATTGTGTGACTTTTCTGAAGGGTGATTTGGCAGTATTTATCAAAATGTAAAATGCATATTCACTTTAATCATGCAATTCTCCAGATATGCAAAGATCATATACAATGAGCCTGTTTAAAGCGTTATTTATATTAGCCTAAAGGGAAAGCAATTTCTGTGCCCCTCAGGACAGTTCACAGCAGTACGGTTATGCAGTGTGCCAATGAAATAGCATTCAGCAGTTGAAAAGATGTGTAAGCTATATATGAAAACACGTGAGAAAAAATTCAGAAGATTGTGAGTAATATGATCACATTTATATTTTTTAAAAAGGCGGGGCAGAAATAAAAGGATCCTGTATATACTTGTATGTGAAAAAAAGTTCTGTGAAAAGACCCAGAAGCAACAGATTGCTGCAGATTCTGGGAAACGAGGTTCAGGGGAGAGAGACCTTCAATTATTTTTAAATGCATAATTTTGTATTTAACTAAAACAATTCTGTGTGAGAACTATGAGTGGCTTAGTTGTGTTGAGAGACAATGATAAACCATCACGTTCTTTCTCTTCCCCCAACCCACACACTCCTGTCCCTACTTCATCCTTAATAGGAGTGTTCGTCACGAGTAGTAACTGAGGGTCTTCGCTTTACTGGGAACAACTTTTGAGACAGAAAACAAATATGAGGGAAGTGGCCACAGGGTTGGCAGGTGAGGGAAAAACAAAGACATTGTCCAGTACCAGCACTGAAGAGCCATATGCTAAAAGCAAGCCATTCTTTGGTTATTTCAATTAACCATTTAAAATAATTCAGATAAATATAATGGCATTTCTCTAAAGAAAAATTTGGTTTGGATTTCCTGGGTAATTATTCCAATTGCCTATTGCTCCTATAGGGAAAATAAGGTTATTAAATTGTCCTCATTTCCATGGCTAATTTGAGGGCAGAGTCTTTGGGTTTTTGATGGAATCTTCTTTGAAGCGGACTTTTGACTTCTTGAAAGATGCCTGAAGATGTCTGGCTTCCCCAGTGCCCAGAAAATCTGTTTTGACACCTGGATTGAGTTACAAAAAAGACCTTACTTTTACTACTCACCTTTTCTAGTTGCCTGCCATTTTAAACTTACCCAGTAACGTGTTACTTAGTTTTGTTTTTGTTTTTTTAATAGTGCAGAAAGTTATTTAAAATGTTAAGGTACCTCAGCTTTTAAAGAACTGTTTTACATTTAAGTATCATTTTAATTTTTTTTAATTGTTTAGAAAGTTTTATTTATTTATTTTGAGAGAGAGACAGTACAAGCAAGGGAGGGGCAGAGAGAGAGAATCCCAAGTACGCTCTGTGCTGCCAGTGCAGAGCCAGATGCAGGGCTCAAATCCATGAAACTGTGAGGTCATGACCTGAGCCGATTCCAACAGTTGGACAGACGCTCAACCACCTGAACCACCCAGGCACCCCCATTTAAGTATCATTTTAATACTTAACATAAAATTTAGAACTTACTGTTTTCTACTTCCCAGCCCCCCTCTTCCCATCTTCTCTCCCCTCCCCCCACCTCCTCAGAAGACTGTTTCTAGTGTCATAAACTTGTCTTTCATTTCGCCTTTAAGGTTCCCTCATCAGTACCCTGGGTGTCCAGGAGCCATATCTGGAGCTACCCCAGGCCAAGTGATAAGCTCTTCTACCAGCTTTCCTATATGGTTGAGTAGGATGTTTTCTCAAACTTTATTTCTGGTTTTGTGGTTGCCACCCAAATTCTCCCTCTGCAGTTTTTTTTTTTTCCTAATCCGAATTCTCTTGTCGTGATCCTGCTCATTTCTTTCAGATGGAGATTATTTTACTTTTACAAGACACGAACCCATAGGAGTGTGTGGACAGATCATCCCGGTGAGTGTATCTCCTCACGCCTCATATTTATTTTCATTTGAACCAGTTCTCTTAGAGATACATAAAACATGGACCTCAGGAGGTGTGCTTTCCATTACTGGGGGAAAAAAACTGAGCTCATGTTGTTGACATATCTTTAACAGCCTCCCTGCAAATGCTTATTTGAACAGGTTAATAGGGTTTCAGCTCCGTTACCAGGAGTTGAGTTCTCAAGCCGTGGAATTCTCATGATTAAAATAAGCAAAGCAAAGCCCAGTGTATTAATAACCTGCCCTTGGTTATGGATGTCCATTCTGCTTATGGAAAATTAATGCTTTGTTATATTTGCTTGTTTATTTTTTAGAACTATGACTCACCATCTTTCCAGGCATATTGTTTTATATGGTCTTTTAATCCCATTCTTTCCCACTGTTTCTTTTCACAAGAATCTAGATAGAAGACTGTACAGAAGACACAGCAGTACAATTAACGTCACGGTCATAATTGAAACCATGCCGGGCTGTTGTATGTCTTGTAAAGGGAAATAGATGTAGTGCTTAGTGTTTGGATTGGAACATTAAACATTGTCTTTTTTTCCCCCTTTCTCTCATACACAGCCTTGGCACTGTACAAAACATCACCGAATCTTCCAGCAGTACTAGTAATCATTCTGGCAAGGATTTCAGGGGAGGCTCAAATTAAACTCTTAAAGCACAGACAAGAAATTTTCTCTTTTCAAAATATAGGAGAAGGTAATCTTTGGCTTTGGGGGCCAAAGATCTTTGAGAGGTATTAGTACTTTTTTAACTGATCTGCAAGCTGTGGGTTTCTGTGAAATTTATTAGAGAATGGAACAGAAAATGAGAGGTTGGTGTAAGTTCTGCTGCTCCTGTACCACCCAGGGTAATCCCATTTGGATCAGAACAGGGGTGAGGTCTGTCACCTCAACTGCGGGAACTCAAACCTGCTCGCCTTGCCCTTCCCCACACTCTTGGGGCTCCAGCTTTCACTGCCAGGACAAGAGCCACTTGTCAGCCAGCTCAGGCTCAATTACCGCACTCCAAGATTTATATACTGTAGATGGAATTAAAACATCACTGTGGACTCCCAAGTTTATAAACAACCAAGGGGAAAAGAAATTGGGTGTTTGGTGAAGGCAAGACACTTGTATATTTTTGCAAGCTTGCCAGGGCCAGTGGGAATCTCTCAAGGGTGGCAGCTGAGATGCTTCAGGCAGAAACACACTGTGGTCAAGGGCTGAAGCAGGGGACCAGGATTTCTGTCTTCTTTCTTAATGAAACTATCAATGACACCTGATAGTACTGAGGTTCATCCCTGTGCCTGTGACAATACAAGCTTAATATGCTTTTAACATCCCTTTAAACCATTTTAGGCCCCCAATTCAGATACTCAACATATATTTTTCAGTGTCTGTTAGTTTTATTTTGCAATAGAAGGGAGACAAGTGAAAATTGTTGCATCCTCATCAGTAGGTGTGCTTTCTTTTGTGTATGTTTTGTGACACCACATGTCTATAAAGAAAAGGCACTACCTTGAAATACACGTTAACTTAAATATAATTCACAGCTGGACTTTTCTCATCTCACTCTTCCACACTGAAGAGCTCTGAAGCCAGTCTGAAATTCCTGGTGTAAAAAATCACAAATGCAAGAGAGAGTTTTCATAGACAAGTACTTAACTGGAACCAAAATCCGATTTTAAAAACATAAAATGACAGCAATGAACAGCCAAAACAAAGCAAAGAAAAAATTCAGACTCCCTTTTCGCCAGGAGATTTCTTTTGGTAGTTGGGCAGTTGGGATATAATAATTTGCCCAATAGAAAAGGAGAGCTTTTCCAGGTCGGTCCTATTTTCTTCTTAATGAAGTAATTAAAATATCCGAACATCGATACTTGGTGGTGGGACAAGATTTATGTTGAGGCCTCGTCTGAGAAATCTGAGCAGTCACAGCTTGAAAACAAAACAGTAGAGGAATATTTTTTCATTTATCAACCTTGAGTTTCTTCCTTTCAGTGGAACTTCCCCCTGCTGATGTTTGCTTGGAAAATTGCTCCAGCTCTTTGCTGTGGCAATACAGTAGTTATTAAACCAGCAGAACAAACACCACTCAGTGCGCTCTACATGGGAGCCCTCATCAAGGAGGTAAGAGAAACCAGCCTTGGGAGTGGCTCCCACTCCCCTTGTAGTTGGGGCCTACTGGAGCATAGCCGATTTAATGTGCTTCATCAGCTTTCACAAGCCACGTTTCCTCCAATTCTGTTTTGTTAGGCTGGCTTTCCGCCGGGAGTCATCAATATTTTGCCAGGATACGGGCCAACGGCTGGGGCGGCAATAGCTTCTCACATTGGCATAGACAAGATTGCATTCACAGGGTCAACTGAGGTAGGTACCTGAGAAACCATGGGTCAAGGAACAGTCCTGCAAAGGAGTAGAGGGTTTGAAAGAAAACTGGGTATGTTATCTACAGGCTGGACACCAAAAGAGCAGCGAGCACCCAAGCCCTCAAAGGGGCAGCATTGGTATCATAGCTAGAATGCTCGCGAATGTCAAAGTAAAGTTGTGCGTTGATCTTTTGATGTTGCAGGTTGTTGAGTGTTTTTTTGTGTGATGCCATCTTTATAAACCTGTCCCGGGAGGGGTGGGGAACCCTATTATATTTTGAAATAAAAGGAACACTTATCAGAGGCAAAAAGAAACAAACAAAATCTGTCCCAGAAGCTGGGGTTCTAAGCACTTTTTGGAGTCAAGAGCATTAATGGCAGAAGCAGGTTAAGAAGCTGGAAATCTAGTCTCCAGTTGAGATTAAAATGGAAACACAGTTCTCTCTCCTCATTATTTCACCACATCCTGTAGGTGCCATTGGCAACTGTAACTATGTCCACGAGCTATAGGGATGGTAAAGAGCTATAGGGATGGTCAGACAACGTCTCTTGGAAAAGGCCAGCTAGTAAATGTTGTAGACCTTGTAGGTGGTACCGTTTCTGTTGTGACTACTCCACTCTGCCCTTGTAAAGCATGAAGCAGCTGTAGGAAATGTAGAAGCTGAGCATGGTGACGGGCTCATAAAACTTTATTTATAGATCTGAAATTTGAATTTCATATAATTTTTACACATCCCAAAATATTAATCTTCTTTTGATTCCCGCTCCCAACCATTTAAAAACACAAAAACTGTTTTTAGTTTGCAGGCTTTACTAAAGTAGGCAGGAGGCCAAGTTGGGCTCATGGGCCATAGTTTATTGACCCCTGATACAGAGTCATAAGTCTGCTTAGAAAAATTTTTTTATAAAATGTTACTACCAGTGTCTTAGATTCAAGTAATAGAGATAATAAAAAAGAGAGTCTGATTCATTGTTTCAAGTAGAACTTCACAGATGACATCACCTTTGAATAAAGCATGTTTGTAGATCTCGAGGAACAGTGTGCCACCCAACAGAAATACAGTGAGAGCAACATTTGTAATGAAAAATTTGCTATTAGCCACATTTAAAAATTTTTGAAACAAGTGAAATTAATTTTAATAATTATTTTATTTAACCCAGTATATCTAAAATACTCGTTTCAATTTATGGTTAATATAAAAACATCATTGTCACAGTATTTTGCATGCTCTTTTCAGTTCAAAGTCCTTGACATCTGGCATGTATTTTACATTTACAGCACATCTCAATTCATTCTAGCCACTGTGTGAGTGCCCTGTAGCCACATGTGGCTAGTGACTACCACGCTGGATGGCACAGGCCTAGGGGCCTGATTATATCAGTGCATTTAATGATACTTGGTTAAATTGACTCATGTAAAAAAATGTCCATAAGAGATTGGTTAATAAACCTGAGTATTAACTTAGAGAATCTTGAGTTTTCTGTTTGTAAAGAGTTAATCTTGTTTCCAAACCTTTTAATTCTAGTTGTACTCATTATAGTAATTCGCAATTTTAATGAAATATGTAAACCAAAATGTGAGTGTGAAAGGAAAATATAGTTCCTATTTAAACTAAGTCTAGTGTCTTGAAAAGATTTGCTAAGAGCTAGATGCCTTAGAAACTGCAGTCAGTTAGGACTGGGCAAGGCAATAATAAAAAAATTGGGGGAAAATATAATGCTAGATAGAATGTGCACCTAGATCGTTTTGCAAATATTTTTAAGTCTTTGCTCAAATTTCTTTTTTAATTTTTTAATGTTACTCATTTTTGAGAGAGACAGAGACAGAGCATGAGCGAGGGAGGGAGAATCTGAAACCGGCTCTAGGCTCGGAGCTGTCAGCACAGAGCTCTACACGGGGCTCGAACCCGCAAACTGTGAGGTCGTGACCTGAGCCCAACTCAGACGCTTAACTGACTGAGCCACCCAGGCACCCCAGTCTTCATTCCACTTTAAGGAAACTGAAACCAGAAACCTTAAACAGTATTTTGGGAGTATGGTTTCATCAGAAAGGACAGGTGAACCTATAATTAAAGTTCTTAGTTCTATATCAAAAACTAGAGAATGAATTAAAATGAAATACTTAAGGATCTTTCCCTGCTTCAACCTCTTTATATTAATCAATCGGCGGTCCTGATTGAGTCAGTTAAGGGCTTTCTAGTATAATGTATTTTTGTAAGTTTATTTATTTGGAGACGGGGTAGGGGCAGAGGGAGACTTTGCGCCATCAGGGCTTGAACTCACAAACCCTGAGATCATGACCTGAGCTGAAATCCAGAGTTGGATACTTAACTGACTGAGCCACTCAGGTGCCCCTGTAATATTTTTTTTTTAATAAAAATGAGATCGTAATATATAAAATGAGATATGGCACCTTGTATGTCAGTACTCATCGATCTCTTTTATTCATTTTAATAGCTGAGTAGAATACTCTTGCATCAGTTTATCATAGTTTAATTAATCCTTGCTAATGTACATTTCAGTTTTTTGGATTTTTTTTTTTACTTTTTTTTCTCTATTATACAGACCACTGAAATGAAAATCTTTGGAGATCTAAGTGAAATTTTGTTCATATACATATTAGACATTCTACTAGATACAGTTTAAAAGTGAAATTATAAAATAAAAGGATGTTTATGCTTTAATTTGCTTATTACCAAAAATGCATTAGAGTGATGTTTCATTTATAAGATCTCATATATTAAGTATGTTAATCTTTTGTTCCTTGTAGGATTTGCAAATACTCTGCAAATATTCTCAAATATTCTCATGTATTCTCTTTGCTTTTATTATTTTCTTTTTAAATAGAAGTGTTTGCTCTGCACAAGTTTTTAATTTGTCTCTAGTCATATCTTTCATTCTTTTCATGGCTTCTGGGTTTCCGGCTGTCTTTAAAGAAACCCTTTTAAGATTATACAAATGATCCTTAATATTTTCTTTTATAGTTTTGTTTTTGTTTAAATCTTTAACTTGGTTGGAATTTATTTGCACGTGTAATGAAAGATGAGACCTAAGTTTGTTTATTTTTTATTTTTTGAAGTATTTATTTAAATTCCAGTTCGTTAACATACAGTGTAGTATTAGTTTAAGCTCTACAATTTAGTGATTCAACACTTCCATACAATGCCCGGCTCATTACAGCAAGTGCCCTCTTTAATCCCCATCCCTTATTTAACCCATCCCTCTACCCATCCCCTTTGTTTGTTCTCTATAAGAATCCATTTCTTTTTGTCGTTTGTTTTTTTAGAGAGAAGGAACATGAGCAGGGGAGGGGCAGAGACAAAGGGAGAGAGAGAATCTCAGGCAGACTCCACATTCAGCACAGAGCCTGAGGTGGGGCTTGATCTCCTAACCCTGAGATCCCTACCTAAGCTGAAACCAAGAGTTGGACACTTAACCATCTGCCCCTCAGGATGCTCCAAGAGTCTCTTTCTTGATTTGCCGCTCCCTCTCTTTCTCTCTTTTTTCTTCCCCTTTGCTCCTTTGTTTTGTTTCTTAAATTCCATATATGAGTGAAATCATATGGTATTTGTCTTTCTCTGACTGACTCAATTTGCTTAGTATAATACTCTCTAGCTCCATCTATGCTGTTGCTAATGGCAAGATTTCATTCTTTTTTATGCCTGAGTAACACTCCATTATATATACATACCTATACATACATACATACATACATACATACACATCCCCTACTCTTCTTTATCTGTTCATCAGTGGATGGATACTTGGGCTGTTTCCATAATTTGGCTATTGTAGATAATACTGCTATTTTATAAACATAGGAGTGCAGGTATCCCCTTGAATTAGTATTTTTGTATTCTTTGGGTAAATACCTACTAGTGTGATTGCTGGATCCTAGGGTAGTTCTATTTTTAACTCTTTTAGGAAGCTCCATACTGTTTTCCCGAATGGCTGTACCAGTTTGCATTTCCACCAACAGCGCGAGAAGGTTCCCCTTTCTCCACATCCTCACCAATACTTGTTTCTTGTGTTGTTTGTTTTAGCTATTTTACAGGAGTGAGATGATACCTCATTGTACTTTTAATTTGTATTTCCATGATGACCAGTGATGTTGACTATTTTTTTTTATAAATGAGTGTTTGTTACTTCAGCACCGCTTATTAAATACTCTATCCCTTTGCAGCTAATTCGAATACAACATTAACATTATATGATAAATTTCCTTATATACATGCTTCTGTTTTAGGACTCAAAATGTTGTCTATTTTTTCACTAGTACCAGATTCTCTTAATTACAGGGTTTTGAAAGATGTTGCAGTATGGTAGGCAAGATACCCTCTGATTTGGTTTTTCAAAACCTTTTAGCTATTCTTCCCGTTCTTTCAGGTAAAATTTCAAATTGATTTTCTTTTTATTAAATTTTTTATTGTTTTTTATTTATTTTTTGAGAAAGAGACAGAGAGCAAGCTGGGGAGGGGCAGAGAGAGAGAGAGAGAGAGGGAGAGAGAGAGAGAGAGAGAGATACAGAATCTGAAGCAGGCTCCAGCTCTGAGCTGTCATCACAGAGCCTGACGTGGGGCTCGAACTCACAAACTATGAAATCATGATCTGAGCCGAAGTCAGAGTCTTAGCTGACTGAGCCACCCAGACGCCCTCAAATCGATTTTCTAAACACTTTGCCTTCCTCCCAAAAACTCTCATTGAAATTTTGACTGACATTGCATTATCTGTGTGTAATATTGAGGGCATGTGCTTTCTGTGCGAGATTGACTTCTCATCTGGGAAATCAGGCAAATCTCTTCATTTATCTGTCAGTCATGCAGGGTTTTTAAAGTCACAACATCATGTATCAGAAAGTTAAATTGACGCATGACCTAATCTTTCAGACTGGACAAGAAGTGGCCTAGTGATATCAGCAAGAACGTAAGCACTTGTTTCTGAGCTGCTTGAGTTCAAATCTCTGTATTGCCATTTAAGATTTTTTTCAACTTTTTAAAAAAA